ACCCCCATCTCCTACCTACTAACCTCATCCCTCCCCCTTGACCTGTCCGTCCTCCCTGGACTGACCTATCCCCTCCCTAACTCCCCACCTACACTCACCTTTACTGGCTCCATCCCCGCCTCTTCGACCTGTTTGTTTCCTCTCCACCTATCCTCTCCTCCATCCATCTTCTATCCGCCTCCCACTCTCTCCCTATTTATTTCAGAACCCCCTTCCCCTCCCCCGTTTCTGATGAAGGGTCTAGGCCCGAAACGTCAGCCTTTCTGCTCCTATGATGCTGCTTGGCCTGCTGTGTTCATCCAGCCCTGCACCTTGTTGTCTCGGATTCTCCAGCATCTGCAGTTCCTACTATCTCTGATTGCAGCATGCTGTTGTGCAGAGAGACTTAGGAGTGCTTGAATCTCTAAAAGTTGGTTTACTGGTGCAACAGGTAATGAGGAAGGCAAACAGAATTTTGGGTTTCGTTGCGAGAGGGATTGAATTTAAGAGCAGTGAGGTTCTGCTGCAATTGTACAAGGTGCTGGTGAGGCTGCACCTGGAATATTGTGCGTGGTTCTGGTCTCCGTACTAGAGGAAGGATATACTGGCTTTGGAGGCGGTACAGAGGAGGCTCACCTGATTCCGGAGATGAGAGGGTTACCCTATGAGGAGAGATCGAGCTGCCTGGGACTCTACTGGCTAGAATTTATAAGAATGAGAGGGAATCTTACAGAAACATATAGAATTATGAAAGGGAAAAGATAAGATAGAGGCAGGCAAGTTGTTTCCACTGGTGGCAGAGACTAGAACTAGAGGACAAAGCCTCAAGATTAGGGGAGTAGATTTAGGACAGAGATGAGGAGGAACTGCTTTTCTCAGAGAGTGGTGAATCTATGGAATTCTGTGCCCAAGGAAGCAATAGACACAGCTTCATTAAATATATTTAAGACACAGTTGGACATATTTTTACATGGTAGGGGGCTTAAGGGTTAAGGATAATGCAGATGGGACAAGCTGAGACTATGGATAGATCAGCCATGATCTTATTAAATGGTGGAGCAGGCTCGATGGGCCAAATGGTCTGCTCCTGCTTCTATCTCTTATGAACATATTAATAGCAAATCAAGAAGTTTGTTAGGTTTAGATTCCGATTTTGATAGAGCTACTTCTATCATAAGTATAACTTAATGTTGAGAGATCTTGATTACAATGGAATGGTTGATGGGCATAACTGGAAATTGCCTTTTATTGCAATATTCGGGTGGCTGTGTAAGGATTAGTCAAGCACATTCCTAAAATATATTTTATTAACAGTACTGCATTATCACCTGTAAAAATCATTTCCTAAGTTAATTCTAAGCTGCCAACCATTTGAATTTTTTTCCTTCATTGGATATGCTTCATCACTTCATTATGCAATAATGCATTGAACATTAAACAGAATTAATGTGTTTCATCATTGGTGGATGCAAGACAATATTGACTATCTTGTCTCAGTTGAATAGTTAAGTTTGCAGAATGCAGAGTAGAATCAATGCTATTCAATGAAAACATTGCATCTGTCCTTTCCTCTTGGATAACAAAGAACACTTTATAGTTTTATTTAATGGTTTGATGACCCTAAATGCACCACTGAGTGACTTAATACCTGAACAGGAGAAACAAAGTTGAGAAACCCTGTAAAAACTGGATAACACCTTTTAAAGCTAGTCTGTAACTCTTAAAAAGGAGGTGCAGTGTGGCTGTAACAGCTGTTAGCAGCCATTCTATATCTACTTTGGTGGCGTTTTGTGATGCAGTAGCTTTGTCTGAAAGTGTTGATTAAAATATTTGCAATGTATTTCTGTACAGAGATTCCTGCCATTTGATAGGCTATTATGGCACAGTGGTAATGTTGCTACCTCTGAGCCAGGAGGCCTAGGTTCAAGTCCAACCTTCTCCAGAGTTGTGTAGTACCATCTCTCTAACAGATTGATTAGAAAATACCTATAACTACTTCCGCCTTGGAAAAGACACAAGGATGATACAATACGACAGAGCATATGCCAAGATTTCAAACGACATACTGGAGTTTATGATGCATGTGGTAGAGAAGAATAGAATGCCTACCTCCCCTCACCAAAATCTTAATGCTCTATCTTTCACCTTTCAAATGCACAAGAATTGCAACCTGGCCAGGCAGTGGTGGAGCAGCAAAAGGTGAAAGAGCACGAAGATGGTGAAAAAAAGAAGCATTGGGTTCAATTCTGGTTGCCACAGTACCAGAAGGATGTGCTAGCTATGGACAGGGTACAGAAAAGATTTACCAGGATGTTGCCTGGTATGGAGTACATTAGCTATGATGAGAGGTTGGAGAAACTTGGGTTGTTCTTACTGGAATGACGGAAGTTGTGGGGTGACCTGATATGGGTTGAAGGGCATGGACTGACTGGACAGTCAGAAGCTTTTTCCCAGGGTGGAAGAGTCAGTTACCAGGGGCCGTAGGTTTAAGGTGCGATGGGCAAGATTTAAAGGTGATGTACGAGGCAAATTTTCTTTACACAAAAGGTTTTGGGTGTCTGGAAGTCGCTGCTGGGGGAGGTAGTGGAAGCAGATACGATAGTGACTTTTAAAGGGCGTCTTGACAAATATATGAATAGGATGGGAATAGAGGGATAGGGTCCCCGGAAGGGGAGGGGGTTTTAGATGTGACGGGCAACATATTGGTGCAGGCTTGGAGGGCCAAAGGGCCTGTTCCTGTGCTGTAATTTTCTTTATTCTTTGTTCCTTGTTCCTTGTTATCATCATTAGTTATCACACTTGCGTCTACCCAATCATATACTGACGTTACACTTATTTTAGAGGATAACTTAGAGGTAAGATCTGCGCATGCTGAGAGAAAGGTAACCTGAAGACAGAGCGAGAGACAAGGGTAGCATGTGCCTGCTAGCCAACCAACCAGGGAGTGAGGTCACATACGAGTTCTGCTACAGTAGATGGGAATGTGCACTTCTCTGGGGTGGCCTAAAGATAAAAGCTGATGGGTATTGGTGATCAACTTTTGGGGACAACAGAAAGGAACACTTTGGCAAGGGGGATCCCGAGAATATCTTTTGAAAAATTATTCATAGGTTGCATATATCACTCAGTAGGCCCCCATTTATTGCCCATCTCTAATTGCCTTGGAGGAGGTGGTGGTGAGTAGATCTTTTGAACACCACAGTGCAGTTAGGAAGGGAGTTGCTGGACTTTGATCCATTAATAGTGAAGGAATGGTGACATATTTCCAAGTCAGAATAGGGTGTGCCTTGGAGTGGAACTTTCAGATAATGGTGTTCCCGTGTATTTGCTGCCCTTGTCCTTCCAGGTGATAGTTGTAACAGGTTTGGAAGGTGCTGTCAAAAGAGTCTTGGTAGTTAATGTAGTGCTTCTTGCACATTTCTGCCTTGGCACTTCAGTGGTGAATGGAATTAATAATGAAAATGGTGGATGTGGTGCCAGTTAAGTGGGTTGCTTTCAAGATTCTTGAGTGTTCTTGAGCACCCATTCTGGCAAATGGTGAGTATTCCATCACATTCTTGACTTATATCTTAAAGGTGGTAGACTGGCAGAGGGGATGTAGGAGGTTAGATACATGCTACATGCTACAGAATTCCTAGTTTCTCACCTGATCTTGTGCCACGGTATTTCCAGTCAATGGTAAACTCCAGGATGTTGATAATGCAGAATCCAATTATGTTAATAACATTGAATGTCACATGATAATGCTTAGATACTCTCTTGTTTGAAATGGTCATTGTCTGGCACTTGTGTGGCACAAATATTTCTTACTACTTATCAACGCATGTCAGGATAATATGCAGGTCCTTCTGCAGATGAGCTGAGCTGAACTGCTTCATATCTGGTGAGTTGTGAATGATGTTGAACATTGTAAAGTCATCAGGAAACTTCCCACTTCTGATGGTGAAACAACTTGGAGTGAATGGAATTCCTTTGGTAGTGGTCCAATTTTTGCCTGACCTTTAATGTGATGTCAATGGCAATAACATCCTGATTTGATTTGATTTGATTTATTATTGTCATGTACCAAGATATAAAGAAAAGTATTGTTTTGTGTGCTTTCTAGGCAAATCATACCTTACATAAGTATAGGGAAGGTGCAGAGAAAGATCAACTCTAGTGTATGAGAGCTCTGTTCAGAGGTCTCTGATAATAGCAGGGGGAAGCATGCTGTTCTTGAATCTGTTAGTACATTTGTTCAAACTTTTGTATCTTCTGCCTGACAGAAGAGGGTGGAAGAGAGTATAACTGGGGTGGGAGGGGTCTTTGAAGATGGTAACAATCCTTGTAATGCTGCATGCTCAGACTGCTTGCTTTTCTGACAAAAGAGAACAATGCAGAGCCTCACTGATCTTTGTTAGTTCAACAGTAGATGGCAAACAGAGAGAGGTTGCAAGTTTTGCCTGTTCTATCATATAAAGAACCAATCGCATACAAGGTCATCATCGTATTCACTGTTTGGAGAAATATGTACAAGCTAGCTTGTAATCATGTGTCCTCTACCTGTGTTCTAACTTGCTTTCACTTTTTAGTCTGCAGCAATTATTAAATGCCTCATTTGAAACATGATGTCAGAAGTGTGAAGCTGAAATTGAGTGAATTCTCAGAGCTGGAGGCTACTGTAAGGAAAACAACGAGGAAGAATTAAAACTACAATCAGCAACCTTGAATTACAGAGTCAATCTGTATGGTCATGGACTTTCCACTCCCTGCTGCTATGAAAATAAAAAAAAGTTACACATTAAATAGAATTGAACTTTCTTTCACTCTGTGCTAAAACTGTGAAATAGCTTTGAAATTTAGTAAAATGACTAAGCAAGTAAGAGTGGCAACCCTGTTATCAGTATTTGAGAATGTATTGTACAAGTTATATTGCAGCCTGGATCTCACTGAGAAGGCAACTGCAGAATTGTATATGGCTTTTAAGATGCACTTTGAACCCCATATTATTGTCACTTATGAATGATATGTGTTCAACATCAGAGCTCAGAACTAAATCTTGACAAGGTGAATGCTGTAGCAAAGATTCATTGAGCAAGTGATATGAAAGTATTGCAATGATTTGTTGTATTGTTGAACTTAGCAAATATTTTGCTTCATTTGTCATCAGTGTGAACATCTATTGAAGCTCACTGCTAAATGTGTGCAGTGATATTGGGGAACAGAGCTAGAAGCAGCTTTCACATGAATCAAGAAACCAGTAGTAATGGCTCAATATGCTCTTGACCTCTTTAACCCAGCAGAGACATTGAATCTGAAAGACAGGCATCTGATCAAACACTCACTATGGGAATGGCATTGCCTGGGGCAGGAATATCACTTCAGGAATAAGTAGATACCAGAAAAACTCACGACAACTCACTTGCATGTTATTAAAAGACCTGAACACTTTAGAAGTAATGGGGAAATGCATGTGCCAAGACTGATGAAAATGATACAAAGTGGAATTATCACAGTTTTGTTCAGGATTGATTCTTCTTTTTTCAACATGTATATATTGGGTACATAAACAGGAGTTGCTGGCAAAACTCAGCAGGTCTGGTACCATCTGTGTGGAGAAAGCAGAGTTTACATTTAAATCCAGTGACTTTTCATCAGAATTGATTGCAGCTAGGAAAATGTGATATTTGTGCTGAAGACATGATAGGGGGCAAAGACAGAGACCAGAGAGAGAAGTGATGATGAGGGCTGAGCATAGGAGAGAATGGATGAACTGTGCTGAACCCAACTCATGTCATGACAGGACCAGGGTGCGGGTGGGTTAAAAAAAACAAAGGAAGGATGGAATCAGGCTCTCAAGTTATTGAACTCGATGTTGAATCTGAGAGGTTGCAGGGTCCCTCGGTGGAAAATGAGATGAGCTATTTCTGCTGAAGCATTTTGTCCTCCTCATCCTTTATGCAGCAGCTGGTCATGCTTTGTGTTACTCCTGTACATCCACTCTGACATGGCATAGACTGAGATATGCAAATAATCCTGAGAAACACATGCTTGCACAGAGTCCTTGAAGTCAGAACCAAGTTCCACAGCACAAGCTACACTGCTTTCTAAAGACTTCAGCAACTTTAAACCACATCAACCATTACATAATTGCAGGGTATAAATTCAATAAACAACTAACCTGAAAGCAGTCGATTATTCACTTAATGAGTGCTATGGTGAGGGGTCCTTTCTACCGCTGAATACGTGGTCCGTTATGTGAGGTTAGGAGTGAGCATTAGTAGGAGTTCTGAGCTCCAAATGACAACAGTGGCATCAAACCAGCGTAGCCCATTTGTCAATCAAACATAAGTAGTCAAATTGCCTCTACCTGCGTGCATGCTAACAGTGTTGCCTGTTATTTTCTAATCAACCAGCTCAGAGTTGTTATTATACACTCTGGATCAGGTGGAACTTAAACCTCGACCTCCTGGCTCCAAAGTAGAGACACTACCATTGTATCACAAGAGCCCTCTAACAGTGTCACCAAAATTATGCCCTGTAATGATAGCACTTGATTTTTGCATGTGCTTCCATTTTAGAGTCAATCAGCTCTCATAGCACTGAAAGACCAGGCACAATGGAGCCAGATTTTCCAACTTACATTTTACATTAAAGTCAACTTTAAGATTAATTACTCAAATCCACTTTCAGTTAACGGAACTGGTTACTCCTCTTAGATTAAATTAAAACAATTTTTGGGTACTGTAATCACAGTAATTTGATTACTGCTTAGCCACTTGCTTACACATTAAACTAAGTGCTTTTATCAGAATTATTTGGAGACAGCTAATATTTTACATTCCTTTTATGGATCTCTAATCAACAATGCATCCTAAATAACAAACGTGCCTTTATTAGGTTCAAATAAAATAGTCTATCGAGATCATGTAATTTTGTTTAAACCAACCTGTTTTAAACTGAAATTACAAAATGTTAAATACTTGCACTTTTTTCAGACTGGGGAATTACCTAGCTAGTGTTTAATCTATTTTTTGTAAAAAAATATGTTTTCCAATTATTTTTGACTAAACATACTACGTTGTGTTTACAGTTTATTTGCATTTCTGGTCAAATTGTCAATTATTTATTCAGGCTAATAAACAGCAAATACCTCTTAGAGTAGTCAGCTATCAAGAACTTCATTGTAAGTACTAAATCTTGTTGTAACATCACATAAGCTTACCTATCCTTCCTGTCACATAATATGGATTTGCCTGTCTTTTATCTAAATAGAATAATAGAATAGTATTCACGCAGGGTAGATTTTCATCTTCATTGCCTGGACAGTAATCCTGAGGAGCCAATTGTGTGACTTCTGCAGAAGCATTTAAATCAATAAGCGGAAAGTCGGACAGATTCAATAAAGAGCATGTTATGTTCCCTTTCTACCCCATTCTCTTGATTGTACTTGTATTTTCCTATAATTCAAAAATCGTGCTCTGTTGATATAAATTCCATTGCAATGAGTTTGTAATGCCAAGAATATTGGTATGAAAGATTCCAAGAATGTTCAGACAGGAGTAAAGGAAAAGCAGATCAGGAATGTCACATATCCAGTACTGTTGGGTGAATCATCAATATATGAGCCCTCACTAAGCATTGAGGAGCAATGAGAACATCTTCCCTAGTGATGGTGCATCCATTTCACCAATGGTCCAGCTCTGCAGGATGGACATTGTTTGATTCTATCTGACCTGTTGTGATGCAACAGAAGAGCAGCAATGGCTTCTGTCTACACCTTCACACTGTGATCTTTGGAGTTCTCAAGGATTAACTCACTTTGTCAGCAGCATGCTGCTCCGCATTGACATTATCTACAGGCATGCTATTTATCAAATGCATGATGAAAGTTTCTTTGATTCTGTAATCATTGCTGGATGTGGAGAGAGAGGTGCCAAAAAATTAATTCTTGCTAATTAAGTTCTGGGTTAATAAGGTCCATGGGTGACCTTGACCTGCCAGTAATTAAAGCCCTTAAGTGATAAATTAGTGGCTGCTTGAGGGTATCAACTCAGTATCACACCAATACCTGCCTCCCTGGTGACTGAGGAAAGTGCCCAGCTTCCTAATTAGGAAACCAAGGTGACCTGCCTGCCATGGCAGGGGAGTGACCTGCAATTGTCACTACCTGCCTGCAATCAGAGGCATAGACGGGAGGGCAAGCTGGTGCCCTCTGAAAGTCAACTCCCTGCCCGAGCCTCTGGTACCCCTGACACACCTGTCTATGAGATACCATCTTACAGCATATTAATCATCATCAATTCCATGTATTTACACAACCGCACTGCAGTGCCAATACACAAGGTCAACTTGACATCAGGAAATCTTCTACCTGGTAGATACCAATGGTCTAACAGTGGCAGGATTACCACTGTGCACAAATCTTGGTATAGTCACAGTTCATGACATTTAAACGTTATGATCCCAGTTATTGGTAATATTTGACAAGTCACATCCTAGAATGAAATATGGCTTAATTGATAATTTATTTAACGTATTCAGTTGGCTACCATGGTGATTGGCCACTTGAAAGAGACTCAGTCCCAGAGAAATATCACTCCTGCCTCAGTTATTTAATATCATTACTTAACTGATGTCTTCTAGTTTCTTTAATTTGTACTATTGAGTCTGCTGCCATTTGTCTCTTGCAATTCTGAAAGGCTAAACATTTTTTTTAGTTCTAACAACTCAAATACTTTGTCCAAACTCTTCTGGCTTGGAAGCTCGACACTAAAATATTATTCAGGGCGACTGGTTCTCCTGAGCTGACTTGATTCTCCTGTTACTAAAAACTGTGCTACCTTCTGAACAGAATTTTATGTTCTTCGGAACTAAACGCTTGAACTTTCAAACACTCAACAATGCATTTAGATCACTGTTCCAAACTGACCTTCTGACCTCTTAAAATAAGTATCACAGAACTGACCAACATCCATCTGCCTGTGTTTTGAAATCCAAATCCAATGTATATAAATTACACAAATTTTGTCACACAAACCCCACACACTGTGGCAGAATGGACCTTAACTGACTCAATTGAATCAGTCAACAATCTCAGATGCCCACACACTAGTGTATTATATCTTAAAGATAATGCAATCCCATTGATTGATTCTTCAGGGAAATACAACACATACATTTTGGAGAACTGAATGAGATGAAATGAAATGGTGCAATTCAGAAGATCAACCATACCATGGTATAGCTTCATCATGTGCATTTTAAAGAAAGATTACACCAAAAGGGTATGCTTAGATCCAGGAACCTCAATCCTTCATTTAAAATGAAACCTTATAAAAATACTTACATTGGAAGGATTAAATCCTAAATTTTCCAGAGCAAGTTTTTTTTCCAAGCTGGATATGAGGCATGTCCATTTGCCAGAAGAATCCCTGGAGCTTAAAATATGTAGGGTGCTATTTCAAAAATACCAATTGAATAATTAATTAAACAAGACATATTTCAATAGCACATGGAAAGGATTATTGAGAATGTACCTGATTTTATCTGTGTAGCCAATAATATTGCAGTCATGGGTAAGACAAGATAAAAGCATGACCACAACCTTTACCTACTGATAACAATAATAAGCATAATAATAAGTATTAATATTGAACAACATGAAGTGCCAGATCAATGTCTGCCAGATAAGCTTCTTTTGGTTCTTTACCCATGGAGTTTATCCTGATATTGGTAAAATAGAGAATGTTAAACAATCACCAGCTCTGCAGGGTAAAGAAAATCTATAAATTGCCTTTTATTTTATAATTTCCTCCAGCCATGTATTCCCAACATCATGGACCTCCTCTGAGAGATTTGCCAAAGAAGCATGTCCTCTATGTATGACAAGATGATCACCAATACATCTTCAATTCTTCTAACAGGTTCTGTAGCAAGATTTTGGCCACCTCAATATTATGACCCCAGGAAAAATATGACCCTTGATGTGGATGCATCACAAAAAGGCCAAGGCACCTGCCTTTTGCTAAATGATAAATCTATTGCCTTTGACTCAAAAACTTTTTCATCTGCACTAGCCAACTAATCCAATGAAGAACACTCTGGTATTAACCATTAACTTTGTTAATTGACAATATGCTTCTTCAAGCATGCAACGGCAGCAGCAAAGGGAGCTTTTTATTCCATCCACTCATTGGACAAAAGTTGCAGTAGATCTGTTCAGTGCCCAGGGAAGATTATATCCTTGTGATGAATTGCTTCTATACATTTCCCATTTTTTGAAGTTTTAACAACACAATGAGCACTATTTCCAGCTTATTCGTGTTCTGGATCAGAAAGTGTTTGACTGTAGATTACAATGCACAGGCAAATCATTTCAGGAAATTGGGACAAAGAATCATATTATCACTCCCTTATCCATGCTCATACATTCCAGCAAAGCATATAGTACATGCTGTCAAAAAGTGATCATTAAGTGTTAAGCAACAAAGCAGGATTTTTCTACTACTACATGATGTTTTCATGCAATACCAATGGGGAAGAGATTACCATTCCCAGTATAGTTTATGCTCAGAAGGCAAATGTGAATCACTTTGTCCAGCAACTAATTGTCCTGCCATTCTGGGACGTGGGGCATTCTTCTTCAAAAACAAAAGAGAACGAAAGAGATACATGTTAGTAAAGAACAATCAAAACAGTGCACTGGACAGACAGTGTGAGTTAGAAATAAAATATAAATACTTGGATACCAGCAAATGCTTGTAGAATATGCAACTTGCCCAGATGATGCAAAGTAATTACTGATCATGGTTCTACATTGCAAAGGAATATAAGCCGCCTCAGGCTAACATAAGGCACACCAATCATGCATGAAGTGAATAAGGATGAAAATGATGCTGCTGGCATGTTGACTGACAGCAACAATCAGCATGACAACCAAGTTGCTAAATAAGTACAACACATACCTCTCCAGATGGCTGTGTGATCATCATAGAAGATCATAATATCTCTACACAGTGTGGAAGCAGGCTATTCAGCCCATCCAGACTACAATGACTCTCTGAAAAGCATCCCATCAAGACCCCATTCCCCATCCCTGAAACCCTGCATTTTCCATGGCCAATCCAACTAACCTGAACATGCTTGGACTGTGGGAGGAAACCAGAGGACCCAGAAGAAACCCACGCAGACACAGGGAGAAAATGCATATTCCACACAGACAGTTGCCCAAGGGTGGGATTGAACCCAGGTCCCTGGCACTGTGAGGAAGCAGTGCTAACCACTGAGCCACTAGGCTGCTCACATCAGATCAGGATGAGTTGTTAAACCTCCAAATCATTACATTAAACTTGGAAACATGAACCCTATAAACTCTGTTTTAGCTGATTGTACAATTATTGATTTGACAATACTTAACTATATACAATCATGCATTTTTGTTCAGGATAAATATTTATCTTTGGAAAAAGGGAGATGTTGTGCTTTGTTGCATGGTCACTATATCAGTAGACATTTAAGAGACATGCCAATGACATTATTATTGCATCATACATGTGACCTGAGAGTATAATGATCTCATATTGTATCTTGAAACCTGTCTCTATACTAGAAGCAATCTTCTCTGTTGTAGCATAATAGCTTAATGTTAGCCCAGCTACTCATGTGTCCAATGAATGCAATGTTTGTACTTAATAATTA